CGCCGCCGCCGCCGCCGCCGCGCTCGGCTGGGGACGCTAGGCGGGCGCTCCGCTAGGCTCTTCGCCTGCGGCTGCCGCTCCCGCCAGCGCCCAGGCTGCGGTGCTCCGATCCCGGCTCCGCGGCGTCCTACGCCCTCTGGCCCCGCTCCCAGGCCTGATCCCTGCCCTGACCAGAAGCCGTCCGTCTCTACCGCTCGGCTTGCGCCCGGGCCATGGAGAGGGGCCCGTGAGGGGCGCGGAGGCAGAGGTGGAGGCGCGGGAGGCCGAGCTGCAGGCGCGGCGGAGGATGTCTCCGGCGAGTCGGAGTCCGGACCCCAGGATGGAGCCGGTGCGGGGCGCTGCGGCCGCGGCTCCTGGCGCGGCCCCGACCAGGTAGCGGCCGGGCCCCGGGCGGGCGGCGGGGACTCCGCCGCAGCCGCGGGAGGGCGCGGGCCCGGAGCCGCCCCTCGCCCGGGACTGGCGGGGGCGGAGGGCAGCGGGGCAGCGGAGCCTGATCACCCCCGCCCCATGGGGGAGGGTGGCAAACTTGAGGCGCACGGCGGCCCCGGGGTGTCCGGCTCTGCTCCTCTGCGGAGCCCACTCGGGTGCCTCAGGCTCGCGGTCCTACAGCCCGGGGCTGCGCGGCGGCGAGACGCTGCTATCCCCGAGCCCGCTGTAACTTTCCCGGCCGGGCCTGCCGAAGCTGGGGTTGCACCACAGGCGGGGCGGGGGCTGCACCGTGCTTCCTGCTCCCACCGGCCCTGCGCCCGCATCCACTGCGCTGCGATGCGCCGTGCCCTATGGGGCTGAGGCTGTCAAATGATGCAGGACTCCCCGGGAAGCCTGGCAGCCCTCCGGCTAGCTCCTCTACGCGGGCATCAGGGAGCTGCTCCTCCGGGCTCGGGGTACTCAGTGCCTGTCTTCGTGATGACAGCTCTGCCTGGGGTTAAAAGGCTAAGCCACTTGAGGACTGCACCAGAAGACCTCATGGTCTTCCCAGGGTGCATCTTTGGCCTGATTGCAGAAGCTGCATGTGCCCCCGCGCCCAACCCCAGGCCTTCCAGTTTCCAGGTTTGGGTCTCCACTCCAGGGCTGGTTTCCTTCTGCTGGACTTAAAAACCGCTCCTAAGCAGAAGGCCTGTGGGAAGGACTCACCGAGGAACTTGCCACGGACGGAGTGGAGGCTGAGGCAGGGGAGACGGAGGTCCAGTCAAGGACAGAAATTCAGCCAGCATCTTCTGGAAGGCTGGCAGGAGCAGGGTGCAGAGACCTAGGATGGGGCAGGAGGCAGCACCTGGCTGGGAAGGCGTGGCTTTAGCAAGCTGAAGGGATTAGGAGACATCAGGGGCAAGCAGGTGGTCAGGTACCAGGGAGCTCTGGCTAGGCTCCCTGCGGGTGGGGCTAGCCCATCTCAAGCTGACCTTACCTGGGCTGGCAGTTCCTAGGCTCTGTCCTCAGCAGCCCGACACTTACAGGGAGCAGGATGACCCTGTTTCTTTTTCAAAGTGCTTTCACTGCGGTGACTCACACATAGGATTCACCAGGGAGGTATCAAGCTTCCACCCTATTCCATTCCCCTCCCTCTTGGGTCTGTAGGGAGCTTCTGGGGAAAGGAAGGGGCAGGTTTGTCCTTGGGCCAGAGACCCTTCGTGAGGCCAGGAGCTGGCCCTGCCAACTTTCAAGGTCTGTGGCTGTCCCTGATATCTCTGATGGGGTGGGTGAGTGACCTGCAGCCAGGCCAGGCCATAGGACACCGTGGTGGGTAGGAGAGGGAAGGGGTTCGTGAGTGGGAGGAAGCCTTTTCTAGTTATCTCCCAGCCCTGGAGAGCTTTACAATCAGACCCTGTTTCCCTGCACCTAGCACCCAGCTAACTCATCTCTAGGCAGATCTGCCATCTGGTTTTCCCTCTTTGCTGAGTAGTTGCAATGCTCTTGGCTGGAGGTTTCCTTCTCAGGACTTGAAATCCAGCTCCCTGGAAGACAGCTGCCCTTCAAGGGAGGGATATGGATCCCCCCTCCCCTCCCAGCCCTGCCCCAGAGCACTAGCCCAGAGGAAGTTTGGTGCTGAGAGTGCTGGTATTTGCTATGTGTCAGGCTGCCCCGGTGGAGGGGCATCTTCCATCCATTGAGTTGGAGGGGGTCCAGGTGCCAGCCAGGTGCTTGTGGGGGCCAGGTCCAAGTCCCAGGCTCCCCGTGCCCATGCTGCGTTGTCTTCCTCCCTTACACACTATGTGTCTCCCTTTACTTTCCCAACTCCACTCTGCATTGGTTTGGGGAGGGAGCATTTGATATTCATAATCTGGTTCAGAGAAGGTCCCGAAGCCCTGAGTCACTGTATAGTTTCCATGGAAACAGACTTGTTCGGTGGACTTGGTGTAGCGCGGCAGTGGTGGTGGGGGAGAAGGGAAACCTATAGTAAAGCCAGGCTCCACAAGTGTGGCAGCAGTTGGTACAACTCCCTCCCTGGGTAGGGTAAGGGGTGGGCCAGGCTCTGGTTTCCCTGAGGGAGGGGCTGCCTCTCCCCACCCAGAAGGTCTGTCTTTTGGAGCCACCTGGAAGGCAGCCTGCACCTTCTGGCTAGGTGCTTCCCCTCAGTGCCTCAGTTTCCTTCTTGTCAAACAGGAATTGTGAAAATATCTATCTCCTAGGGCAGTGAAGGTCAAATACGTTAATATGTGGATACACATACAATGGCATCAGAGTTAGCGCTCAGTGAGCGTGGAAGTTACCCATTAAGTCAGGGGACTGGTTCACCTGAGTCCCTCCCCTATCCCAGCAGGTGGTCCTGACACCTATCTGCCTGGGCTGGCTCCTGGCAGCACCCTCTACTCCCCGCTGGACATCACATCCATGTTTTCCCACAGAGCCTGTATTTCAGCTTTCCCAGGGCTGGCCCTCAGCTAGGCAGCCCTTGCTCTTGTTCAGAGCCCACCTGCCCAGGACCCCCGTGGGAAGAAGCTCTCCAAGTCCAGACAGATGGGTGGCTTTCACTGGAGTCCCTGGGGAGGGTGGGTCACAGAGACCCTTAGGATTAGAACAGAGGGAGAGGGACAAATGAAGACCAGGCAGAGACAAGGTCCTCTTGACAGAGGAATGGGATTGGGTGGTGGAGGCTGCTTTCCCTTACTGGGGCAAGGCTGGTCCATCTGGCGTCTCTCTCTTGAGGATCAGTGAGAGAGGGCTGCAGGCTTCCTCCCGTGCCCCTGGATGGGGCTTCTGCGGCTCACAGGCTGCCTGCATGCCCTTCAATCTGGGCAAGTGTGGCGCTCTAGCTGCTGGGGCAGGGAAAACCCTTACGTCACAGTGCCTGTCCCCAGCATCTCGGGGCATGGCCTGGGGAGATCTGGGGCAGCAGTGATAGCCTAGCCTGCTGTCCCTCCCTGCCATCCTGTGGCCCCAGGTCTGAGCTCCCAAAAGCCCCCCTCCGTCACTGCCAGCTGCCAGAGCAGTGAGGGCACCTCATTACCTCCTGGACTTCCTTTTATTTTGTAGATGGAAAAACTGAGATTCCTAGGCTTTGCCTGTTTGGCCAGAACATAAGCTGGCTGTGGCCTCTCCCCCATCTGTGCCAGCCTTGGGGATGCCCTTCTCTTGCAGGGCTCTCCAGGCAGTTCTGGCTGCTGCCTGGTGGGTGACTCCCCTAAACACACACACACACACACACACACACACACGGGCCGGCTGTTCCCTGCCAAGGTTCTTCCCCCCAGGTCTCTCTGGACCGCTTTGCCGTCCTCATTGCTGTTCACAACACCTTCCAATTTAATATCCTCTGCAAATTTCATTAGCGGACTGTTTACTCCCTCTCTCAGGATCATTAATGAAGATGTGAGATAAGATGTGACCAAGTGCTGTGCTTGGCAGCCCTGTCCTACACCCGGGTCCTGCTGTCTAGCCCCTTCCCTTAGGAGTTGCCCCCTCCTGCCTTTAGGCCCCATGACAAGTGCTTAGGGCCAAGTCTGTTTGAATTAACTTTACGAGATTACTCGGGGTGCTGTATCAAATGCTTTGCTAAAAATCAAGATATATTGCCCTGCCTGCATTTCCTTCATCTACCAGTCTTGTAATTCTATCAAGAAAGCTATCAAGTTTGTCAGGCATGATTTGTTTTTTATAAATCCCCATGGTGCCGCATGGGGCACAGGGTTCCTACGTTTTCTAAATGTTTAGAGATTCCCCCTTGTGTTTGCGGCTTGATTAGAGCTGGAGGACTGGGCTAGGAATTATCTGGAAAGCTGTGTGCTTCCTGGGGATGAGGAGGAAGCAGCCCCAATGCTTCTCTGGTGTCTGCGGTGACAGTGAGTGGCTTAACACCTCTGCCCCACCCCCAGGCCCTGCAGTGTGCTGGGCTCTGAGTGCTAGGTGCTGGGCCAGGACGGGTAGATGGGTCCCTGTTGCTGTCCTTCAAGGCTCCTGCAAGGCAGAGGAAACGACACACAAGTCTGTGGCCTCTGCCATTCTGGAAGTCTCATTAATTGAGTGATGACTGCAGACGAGTCACTTTGCTGGGATCTTTGTGTGCCTGATGTCCTCTGAGCCTAGGGAGTGGATGTGGTGTCCCCTTCCCTTTGGCACTCAGACAGCAAAGCTGCCCAAGACTGTGGGTCTGGCTTTTACCATAGCCAGACACATCTAGGCGCAGGAGAGCTGAGGTGGCAGCCCTGGGCTTGCAGGAGGTCCGAGTGGGGAAGGGAGGAGATGCTTGGAGGTGGAGGTAAAGTGTGGAGAGGTGAGGACCTCACACAACACGAGCACTACCAGCTTCTGTTCTCTGCCCTGCCCTGTCTGAGCCTCTGGTGGGTGACGTGGTGGAACTGGGGCTGAAAGTCTGTGTTCTATCTGTAGAGCTGCTTGTCCCCTTGCCCACAAGCCTCGTGGGTGAATCTTCCTAGTGCTTATAACCCAGGGACACACGGGTGGCAGCCTGCTGCAGGCATGTCATTGGCACCACCAGCAGGCTGGCAATGAAGTCTAGGCCCTACTCCAGATGCCTTCTAGCCAGGTGGTCATAGAGATCTTCTCGGGTAGCCTCCTGTTGGCATGGGATGGTGGCATTTCTGGGCTTCCTAGCCGTGAAGCCCCTCCAGCCTCACTGTTCTTACCTAGCTCAGATGGGGCTCTGATGGGGAGGGGAGTGGTTGTGGGCTTCTGCTTATGGGAGCTTGCTGGCCCCAGGTTCACACCTGTTCATGGTAATCTTCATTCTTGTCACTTGTGGGAAAGGTGAGTCCCCCAGAAGTAGTGAGATGCCACAGACCTTTCCACATGCCAGACAACTAGCAAGGGCCACAGGTGACATCTTAGGGGTCAGTCCTCAAGCATGGTTGGTAGCTACTGGGTGGGCTGCTATACAGCCAAGGTGGGCATTAGTGTGCTGGGGAGCCTGGTGGTCA